TCGACAAAATTCTAATATGGCCTTTAGGTCCTCAAGTAAGGAAATTTTTGTTAGTTTTTGGTCTTCAGTGTTTGGCACCAAGGAGGACCATGATGGCGACGAAAAATGTCGTCTTTCATATTTTTTGATACCGTAGAGGCCATAACTTTGGGTTTATCCAAGGTAATTTTTCCTAAAACATATGGAGATGAAATGGAGTAGTGGGAAGGGTAAAAGGTGGCAGAAAATAGGATGGAGAAAGGTAAAATGTGAGGGGACAAGGCATAGGTTAAAGGAAAAGGGTTGAGTGTGCAGGGAAAATGAATGATGGAGTACTCTTTCTAAAATGAGTAATAAGGACAAATAATTTTTCAAACACATTTATTACATCCATAGACTTTATAAAGATCTACCAACTTCAATTTAAAGAACATCATACCACTTGAGATGGAAAAAAAGCTGTTGATAACATCTTCAACAAAATCTTCTCCAAACTTTTTCAAGATAACAAATTCCAAGCTAGAAGAACTCAAAAATTCTTTGAAATCTTCCTCAAGAACCATCTTTTCCATAAAAATCCCAAGACATTGTGTCTATTTCCAGAACATAAAAACTTCTTGGAGCAAATTCTTCAAGTTCTTCAAATATTTTAGACAACAAAAATTTCTTCTTCCTTTTTCTTCTTCTTTTCCAACAACAATAAAAAACGCTTCGCAAACCCGAATTTTCAACAGAAACATATGAACGAACAATAGCAACATTTATTCTTGAAAGCTTGAAGAGCTTTGAATCAACACTAACAAAAAGAAAAACTCATCATAAGAACATTCGGTTGCGACCCGAAATTTCTTGGCAGAAAATCGAAAAATCATCAAGATAAGATAATCGATCGAGAGTCGTTCCATTGAAATAATCACTTAGATTTTGAATGTATGGCTCTTATACCATTGTAGCTGCCCATTTTGACGATCAACATGTGCATAATAATAAGAACATCTTGACATTTAACGCTAAAATTTGAAGAAAACAAAAGAGATGAGTAATCCGATAATTTTACTAGAAAAGAGAGTAATAAAATATGACAATACAAGAACACTTGGTGGGAGAAAGCCCACCACACTCTCTCTAACTAAAGAACAACATTTTGGTGCACTTGCAATACAAATGACCATCCCTCTCTATTCATAAAGAGAGGATACTTACAATACAATAAAGGGAAATAAAATAACCTAATTTTATCACTCATAATTTGTAGAGCATTTCCATGTTCCAACATTCCTTATTCGTCTCGTACGGCCAGTATTCCTTACAGTATCTTTGAAATTCATGAGTTATTGTAACCACCATGATGCAAGCAACTTTTGTCGCACCATTGTAGTGGTTTTTGTAGACGACCATTTCTTCAAGAGAAAGAATACATGTGATATATCAACATCCACATCTTCAAACCGTTCTAGATCTACTTACTGAATCCAAGACCTTTAAATTGTTGTAATTCTACTTCATTGATTCCAATACCATCCATGATCTCTTCTATAGTATAATTTTATTTCCTTAGGTTGTAATTTGACATCCTTATATGAGTGTGAACATATGGACTTGCACCAATTTCACTCTCAACATTTGGAATGGCAACTGTTGGGTATAGAAGATTGCATCATTGGGGTTTTTGCATTAGTCCAGTATGTATATGGTTTTGGGCCTGTCCAACCGTTTATTATTTGGGTTATAGTATATATAATGCATGCATGCACCATATTAAAATGTTGTTGACTTTATCGTTCTTATCATTACTTTGTAGCCCTAGCACACCTCTACAATAGCAATTCTTCATAGAGTTCTTCTGAGGTTGTGGCCTTTTAATCATTCGACATCAGTTTGATTCGTCCTGTGTTCTTATTTACTTTGTGTTCTTGAGTTTCTTGGTAAGAATCTAATCAATCTTAAAGTACTTTTAATCTCTTCAAATAGTATCAGAGCAAGAGGTTGTGTAAATAATATGCATCTCTTCTGTTTGAAGAAAATTTTTAGGTTTTCCGCTATTATCGAATCTATTGGAGTCGTCATCACTTTATTGACGCTACTCCTTAATTTTGATTTTACCCTAACTCAATCTTTACAAGTATGATTATTGACAGGGAAAAAAATCAAGTCATCATGTCTCATGACGAGTCTCAAGCCAATCCCATCAACATCTCTAATAGCATTGGCTCGACCACTAGGATTCCGATCCTATACACTCACGAATATGAAGTATGGGTTTTTCGTTTTGAAGACTATGCAAAATATAACAGGTATTTGATCTAGGAGGCTATTAGTTTGGGTCCGTTTGTTCACTCCAGAACCAACATTACCATCAAGATACAGAAAGAGTACAACCAGCTAATGGTAGATGTGAAAGAAGTCCCTCAAGATGAGAAGGAAAAACTGATTAGCAATGTAAAAGCAATGAGGATGATCAGATTCGCTTTACAATCTGATACCTTTCGACTGGTGAGTTCATGTACTACTGCAAAAAGAGACCTAGTAAAGGCTTAAGGAGTTATCTTCCACCGATGAGGATCTCGAACATTCCATCCAAACTCTTCTACTTTCGGAGTTTGGTGAATTCAAGCAAAAGCCTGAGGAAAGTCTTGTTCAAACATTCAATCATTACAACCATCTTATTAGTAAGATGATTAAGCACGAAATTGTTAGAGAGGTGATCGAGTAGAAGGTCACTTTCATGAATGACCTAAGACCCGAATGGATGACGGTGTTTTCAACTGTTAAAGCACATGAATAGTTCACGATGTGTTGCCAAAGCTCGTAGGGATTCTCAAGTCACATGAAAGTGTTGTGACAAAATAATCGAGAGTTGTTTCTAGTTTGGGCTCTTTGGCACTCGTGGCTAAAGGTAAATCTTTGGCTGATGAAGAACCTAAGATTGATCTCTCAGAATGTGATCTTACTAGTAAGGAGTATGCTCTGATGGTGTCTAACCCCCATGCGGTTCGCAAGGAAGAAATTCCCTTCTACCAAGAACCAAAACTGGTAAGAGAGTTATAGCTTCAAGAAGGCGAAGTAGGAGAACAAAAATACTCCTCAGAAGGAAGAAGAGAAGAAAGAAGGAAAACTAGTTGGTAACTCTGGGTATGACTGCCACTACTATCACGGGTAGAATCATTTGGCGAAGGATTGCATGTTACGAAAGTTGAATGAGAAAAAAGAGGGGGAAGATGATGAAGCTTACTTCATGTGTAAGCTGGAGGAAATCAAGAAGGAGAAAACTAATGATAAATCTATGCCTGCGTTGATTGTGCAGGAAGATGTCGTAGAGAATGAGTTTGGTGGAGTAGAAGTTTGGTCTACTGACTTGGAAGATGAAGAAGTTCGCAATCCCACACATAGCAGGGCAATTGTTACGAAGGAAGAAGGCTCTCAGGTTGCTAGCAGATGTTTGATGGTGACAGCTGGTGTGTCACAAATGAGAGACTACACAATAGATGGTAGGTGTGAAGAAGTGAATGAGAGAGAAGACAAGTGCTTTACCGCAAAACTAGTCAAAGAGCATATCAGCGAGTATGTTCAGTTGATCAAGAAGGTAAATTCCATCCTTGAATCTTTTAAAATACCCATATCTAACTATGAAAAAGAATTAAATGATTTAAAATTCACCTTCTCTAGTTTAAGTGTTAGCCTAAAACAAACTCGCCTCACGAATTTTAATCTAACTGATCAAATTACCAGGGTGTCTTCCAAGAGTGAGGAGCGAAGGATGTGGATAGAGAAGAAGGAATTAGAGTTGGTTAAGGCAAGAGACGAATTGATTTATTTGCAACGTGACAATTTAAAGTTTTTGAAACAAAGGAATATTTTTTCTTGATTGCTAAATGTCTTTATTCCAATATTACTCAGTTGCATTTAGATTGTGAGATTGTCAAAAAGATTCACAAAATGATTTTTCCTTTCCTTGAATTAAAGGAAGACGAAATAGATGCTGATTGCTATAATTGTGAATCAATTGTCTCATCAGAAGAAACCTCCACTACTAGAAAAACTGCCCTTTACGACATGTAATGTATGTCGTAAAACACTCAGACGACGCGCAAATACGTGTCAAGGAAGGCCCTGTCATAACGAGAGACGACAGGCTTTTACGCGTCGTCAATTTATGAAGCACATTTACAACATGCATTTACGACGTGCAGTTATGACACGCAATGCGTATCAAGGAAGGCCCTGTCATAAAGAAAAATGACACACATTTGCGTGTTGTAACCTTACGACAAGCGTGTTTATGACACGCAATGCGTATCAAGGAAGCCTCGGTCATAAGGGATGACGACACGCATTTGCATGTCATAAACTTCAGTAACCATTTATGATATCCATTTACGATGTGTATTTACGATACTCGTTACACATAATACAAAAACATGTAAACAAATATGTACCAAAACAATCAATTTCATCCAATGACATCATATCAAAAAATTGTAATACATTGATATTAAGGGGATCTAATTGTACATTGTTATTAAGAGGTTTTCCCTAACTATATAACCTAATACTACATTGCTATTAAGGAACACCTTCTGCAATGTAATGCTGTACAAACTAAAAAGATATACACAAAGATGATAAACATCAAATTCCAACTAAATTGAGTTGCATATTTTCTTTCATAATTCTTTAAGACTAATGAATCCCTACTCCGATAATTCTTGTGAAATGATCAAACAAAAGTCAAAAAATAATATGCTAATATAATTATTAGAAGAATCAAACATGGAATGTTAGTTGTAAAAGAAAAAATTACCCTTTTCTTCATCCAAAGAGTGTGGGATTTGGAATAAATACACTACAATATGAATTACTGATATGAATGATGACAAGAATGCCCCCATAGAAATGGTAAACATTACCTGCAGTCAACAAGGGAATTAGTCTTAGAATTGTATATTGAAACACACCAATTAATTGGAACTCTAAATGCAATGTGATCTATGTTAGCTTCAATTGTCAATAATCTATATTTTCTATTCGGCTGTAACACTCTTTGCAAGATTCGTTGGTTGATCAACATTATAGCCTCGTAGAACAGTTAAATGATAAGCCAACAACTGCATGTAGAAAAAAAAACAAAACAAAACAACAATTTACGTGTATATAACATCAAAAATATATAACCAAAAATATGAACGCAGAGTATTATGCACTTAACAAATGCCTTAGAATGAAGAATGGCCAACAGAGTAATAGTCACATTAACACTTGTCTTTTTATCAGTCAAACACGTAATACATGATAGGTGATTTTATACAAAAAAATGAAATAAACAAAGAGTATATATATATATATATATATATATATATATATATATATATATATATATATATTTTTAAATACATGCAATGGAACTATGTTGACAACATGCTGTAAGTAGTCAACAACAAGAGGAACTTCAATTACTCTGCAAGATGGCCCACAAACAGTTGTTGCATCTCCTTCTGTACACATCACTTTCAATCTACCTTTTTCGAGTTCTAAGTCAATGTTTTGGTCAACGCTATTGTCGAGTAGAGTTTCCTTTTTCAGAAACTGAGTAGTTACCTCGTTGTTCATGCAAATGGATACATCACCTGACTCTAACTTGTTATGAGCTGGCCCACAAGGTACCTTAATGATGACATCATCAGCCACCTCTAACAATCTAGTAATTATGATTCGACAATGGAAGTGTAATTAAGAAAATAAAAAATAAACCTTACTACAGAATAAACAACGAGCATTCTAGTTTCGGGTAGAGGAGATGCAAGGTGAACCAATTGCTCTGTTTGACTTTGAAGATCGAGTCTACGGTTTCCATCGAATCCTTTGTGGATAAATGTTGTCTGAAGGGTGCCACGTGGTATTGTAACAGCTTCCCATTTATTTTGAAATCAATCTTTTCCCTTCTGTAAGAAATTTAGAGCCCTAACCACATGTACATGTATAAATTGAAGTGGATATAAGGATAAAGGATTATATAGTATAGTTACTCGTTCTAAAGGTAAGAAGAATGTTGAAGCTCTTGAAGATTTGCTTCCAACATTTAAGGCAATAGCTCCTCCTTGCCAATCAACGACCGGGACCCACTTGAACCACCTTTGGTACCAGAAGCTACCTATTGTAACCAAAGAAATGAAAAAAGAATAAAAATTAATAACAAAACTGAAGCATTGATCACGAGTAGCAATGAAAACAATTGGAAGGTTTTCATCAACTAAAGCCAAAGGTCCATGTTTCATTTCACCAGCTTTTGTTATAACTTAAATCAAAAGACTGGATAAATTCAGGAACTTGTTTCATTGGATGGAATGGAATGACAAATGAAAAGAATGAAACAGTTAATGGAATGAGTCATTACATTCCGTTATCATATTAGGTTTGTCACTTGGTCTGTAGGAAATAAGGAATGGAATGAATCTTTTCAATTATATGCAAATACAATGTACAGTTTTAATTCTAATAACTAATAAAAAAAATTCATTTAGAAAAAAAAAAACATTTTAAGAGAAAAACCTGTAAAACCTCCTCACTGAAGATTTGACAAGATGATTATAAGCAGCTGGTAGTTGCCTCAAAGTGAGACATGATCCCCATTAATCTGAACCAAATTAAGTCATGGATTCAGACAAGTTTTTAATTCTTTTTTAGTAAAGATAAAATTCTTACAAGTTTTCCAATAGATTAGAAGCTAGGAGAAAGCAACTTAAGCAACAAATTTTTCCTTAATTCCATGTTGGGAAGGTGAGCAAGTATCAAAGTAACACCACCAATAACATCTTCTAAAGGTAAGTGTCTCTTTTCCAATCCCTGAACTAAGGTAAAATACGTAAATGCCCTCATCATTGCACAAGCATGCGAGCATAAAGGTTCTGACATACCAGCTGCAAAAAATAAGAAGACATCCACTTTGAATAGGAAACAATAAGAAGACATACACTTTAAATAGGAACCAATAACATAAGAAGACATCCACTTTGAATAAGAAGTGAATCCCTACAGTGAAGAGAATCCTTACATTAATGGCCTAGCATTAGTTACATAAGAAGACATCCACTATGAATAGGAACCAATAACATCTACAAGTGATCTATGTACCTAAAATGTAATGTACACAAGAAAAGATAGATTAAAATACTTTAATTCTACATTATGAAGAAAAAAATCAATAGCAAATGGCATACAATGCACATAAAACCTTTTGGTCCATATGATTCCATATCAGATAACATTGTAACCAAGTGCAAAACCATGGAGAGATCAAATGTTTGATTTTCTTGTAGTACCACATCAGCAACCTAGAACAGAAATTTCATATTCATATTTTATTTACAATAATATATCTACAACAAACTGACCACATTAAGAGGAAGCATTCTGGTTTCCACATCCTTCCATGGAATTTGTACGTTTGAAGACAACGAACCACCATAAAAATATGATTCCCAATTTTATACTAATATTATTTATTAGTTTAAAGATGAGATAATTCATAATTGTTGGGAGATTAAGTCATTAGGACAAGAACCTTTTCCAAAAACGCAGCAAACTTCAAAAGCTGGCAATTAATGTCCACCAAAAGCTCAACTAAATTTAATCTAAACTTAAATCAAGAGTTGTTGCATAGTTATACCCTCTTCAATGCCAAATATGCCCCTCAGAAACACCAACACATAGAGTTCAATTGGGTGGGAGCAATTGGAAATGAAGTGACGGTATAAGGATTTTGGAGGGGTATTTTAGGCATAAAAGCAAAAATGGGGACATATTTCAGAGAGGGCCATTAATGGGCATACTATTGCAAATGAGGGTTTCATCACACATATTTTCTTCACTTTTACTTCTGAAAGGATTTTTGCCTATGTTGGTATTTCATATTTGTCACACCAATCTCTTTGTTTTTATGAAAAAAATGTCTCTCAAACAAGCTTGGAAGAGGATTAAATTGGTCAACACCTTTCTAAAAAATTGGCTCCACCTAATAAAAAGAGCATAGAGAATAAGGGGATGAAATTTTCTTGACACTTTAAAAAGAGAGATCAAAGTTGTACCAGAGTCAACATTAAGCGTGCGCATGTGGTGTGGATGCTGAGAGATAATGAAGTGTCATGCATATTACTCGAGAATAGGTAGATAATCTGTGACAGCTGGCATCAACATGATAGAACACAACAGTAAGCAATGTAATAAAAGAAAACATATCAAAAAGAAGGTTAGGAGAAATTTTAATTCTGAGTTTGCTGATAGAAGTAAAAGTAATCTATGAGATTTGAAAGAGGACACTAGATAGAATATCTAATAATAGATATCTTAGTATTGGATGAAATTCAGATAAGGCTTTCAAAACCTGCGACAACGAAAGATCTCAACGAACATGATGAACAATTTCTGCGAAGAGACTATAAGCTAATGGCCTTAGTGTCCCAAAAAAAGCCTAACCAATTCCCACAAGAACCCTAACATGGTTCATAAATTCTTAAATGATTTTTGACATTATATCGAAGTTAGCAAGATAACCATGTACATAATATCAATGTTACCTCTCTTCCAAGAGTGTATCAATCAGAGGAAATAAACCCCGTTTAAAATCCATTCCAAGAACATGTTTTAATGCTATCAATAATTCCTACACATAGTAAGTAAATCATATAAACCACTTTACAAACATGGGCAGAATAGGTCACTAAAGATATACAAATCTAGTATTATAGTATCTATCACCTTTCTAATGGAAACATAGTCTGAACAAGTAATAAGCAGGTTCACAATGCTTTTACAAATGCTTTCTTCATGTGGCCTGATATAATCAGCAAAGATCTTCAAAAGGTAAATTAAGAAAGAGACAGTCTGCAAGAACAAGATAGCATATAAATGTATAATATTCAAATATGATTTAAAACTTCAAAGGATGATAAAAGAATGATCTTGATAAAAATTACCTTAACTTAAGCCCCTTTTAGCTTAGTGAAGTGGGTCTTCAAATGAGGTGGAACCTTTTCAGGACCTGGGACAGAGATAGCAGCAACCATCAAAGGTAACAATTGAGGTATATTAGTCTGGACAAGGCGGTTATACAACTGAAATAGAAACATAACCACCAAAGGACCTCCCCGAGACAACATGCTTCTCATTTTCTCTCAATCATGACTGCAATGTCACATTACATATGTAAAATTAATAATACTAATCATAATTCATTAAGATACAAATGTTGTTGAATTTGAGAATTGAGATATAAAGATTAGGTTGCTAACAAAATTTGTAGCATACCAGAACTTTCCAGTGGCTGCAATGAATTTGTAACGACCCAAAATACGATCCGAAAGTTTTTGTTTAAATAATACTAAGGTTATCATTGATTTATAATATATCATGAAATCGTACGTCATAAATCCCAAAAATTTATATTAGATGTGTCATAGCAAAAGAACTGTAACAACATAACATAGTATCTGAAATAAACTCCCAGGACAAAAGCTGAAGTTGTGGTGTGTGCAATGCCATCATCCCAAGCTCTTCCCTTTGCTTGCGGAAGTACATGAAACCAAAACTGACACTGTAAGCACAAAGCTTAGTGAGCTCCCCCAAACTACCACATACCATACAATAATATATAAACACATATTGGGCCTTGCCCGCTGCATCGGACCGAAGTCTGGAAACTGCATCGGACCGAAATCCGGAACTAACTAGGGCCTTGCCCTCTGCATCGGACCGAACTCGGGAAACTTCATCGGACCGAAGTTTGAAACTGACTGGAACCTTGTCCCCTACATCGGACCGAAGTACGGAATTAACTGCGTCAGAACGAAATCCGGAACTAACTGGGACCTTGTCCCCTGCATCGGATCGAAGTCCGGAAACTGACTGGGCATAACATAGAATATCATAAACATATCAACTAGCATAAACACATATACTGCATACTGCATCGGACCGAAGTCCGGAACACATAACACAAAGACATGCTCGAATCACAAAGACATCAAGCACACTGAACTACTGCATCGGACCAAAGTCCGGAACTACTGCTAACTAGACAGGCCGGCATTGTCGTCGTAGACCCATTCCTACTGGAAGGAAAACTCACCTCGTAGTGCTGGCTGTTGAGATGTTAACTATAGAAGTGTTTGAATGCTGCTCCGAAACTGTCCGACTGAATAAGAAACAGATGGAAGCTAACTCTTGGATCTCCCTTTTCTTCTATGGACCTCCTTTCCTTCTTTCTCTTCCCAAGGCTTTAAAGCTAGCACAAACACACTCAAACTCAACAATGGGGCTAGGGTTTACAGGGGAAATGTTCTGAGAGTGACAGAGGCGAGGTTGGGGGTGTATAAGTGTGTTTAAATAGGGTGCAAACCCTTAAAATTAGGGCTTCATCCAGACAGGCGGAATTGTCGAGTCCCAGCGTATGGACTCGTCGGGTAGCCAACTCAATTTGCGTGATCATCCTGTCTCTACTCGACGAGTCGGGCTACAGACTCGTCGAGTACCCCCCCCCCCCCTTAAGAATGAAATTACTTTATTTAAATCACATACCAGAAATGAGGCGTTACAACTCTCCCCCCTTATTTCAGACTTCTCCCTCGAAATCTATTGCTGCTGCCATATCTGAAAATAATTATGGATAATGCTCCCTCATCTCCCCCTAAGACTCCCACGTCCACTCTGAACCCTTCCGATGCTGCCACTGCACCTTCACTAACGGAACCACTTTGTTCCTCAAGGTCTTTATCTTTCGATCTAAGATCGCCAATGGTCTCTTGATATAATTCAGGCTGCTATCAACCTGAATATCCTCCAAGGGTACAACTGCTGACTCATCCACCAAACACTTTCTCAACTGAGAAACATGGAAAGTGTTGTGGATCTGGCTAAGGTCTGCCGGAAGATCCAACCGATAAGCAACCCGACCCACCCGGGCCAAAACCCTAAAAGGACCAATGAACCTGGGGCCCAACTTGCCCCTCTTCCGAAGCCTAACAACACCCTTCCCGGGTGATACCTTCAGGAGGACCATATCGTCCACCTGAAACTCCAAATCTAAACGCCTCCTGTAGGTGTAACTCTTCTGCCTACTCTGTGCAGTCTACAATCTACTACGAACCTGTTGGATCAACTCTGTGGTTTTGAGCACCACCTCGGTGCTCTCAATGAATCGTTGATCGACCTCTCCCCAACAAATCGGGGTCCTACACTTCCTTCCATAGAGCATCTCGAAAGGAGGACGGTCAATGCTAGCGTGGTAACTGTTGTTATACGAAAATTCCGCCAGTGGAAGGTACGTATTCCAACTACCACCGAAGTCTAAAACACATGCCCGAAGCATGTCCTCGAGAGTCTGAATCGTCCTCTCGTTCTTCCCGTCCATTTGAGGGTGGAAAGCGGTGCTAAAATGAAGACGAGTCCCCATCTCGTCATGAAACCGCTTCCAAAATCTGGAAGTAAAACGGACATCTCGGTCTAACACTACTGAAACAGGAACTCCGTGTCGTGCCACTACCTCGCGCACATAGATGTCGGCTAGCTTCTCAGCCGATATGCTCTCCTGGATCGGTATAAAATGCACGATCTTGGTTAGCCGATCCAATATAACCCAAATCGAATCCACTCCTCGTGCGGTCCTGGGAAGCTTAGTGATCAAATCCATGGTAATGTCCTCCCATTTCCATACGGGAATATCTAACGGCTGCATCTTGATGTGGGGTCTTTGGTGCTCTGCCTTGACCTTCCTGCAGGTCAGGCATCTCTCCACATGCCAGGCGACATCCCGCTTCATGCAGGGCCACCAATAGTCGGGTCGAAGATCTCTGTACATCTTTGTCGCCCCTGGGTGGATGGAAAATCAAGACTTATGGGCCTTTTCCATCAACACCTGTCGTACACCGCCCTAGTATGGTACCCAAACTCTCCCATGAGGGGTCAACAATCCCCGACTGTCATAATCAAAACAAGCTACTCGACCCATGATCCTCACACACTTTTGCTTCTCCTCCTTGAGGCCCTCGACCTGTGCCTCTTGATCTACTCCAACAATGGAGTAATCACTATCATCCTGAGGCACATATCCCTGATCGGGGCTGCTGTCGCCTTGCGACTCAAGGTGTCGGCCACTACGTTGGCCTTCCCCGGGTGATAAAGGATGTCGCAGTCGTAATCCTTTACCACATCTAACCACTGACGTTGCCTCATGTTAAGATTTGGCTGGTCTATGAGGTATCTCATACTCTTGTGATCCGTGTAGACGGTAAAACGGACCCCATAGAGTTAGTGTCTCCAAATTTAAGGCGAACACTACTGCTCCCAACTCCAAATCGTGCGTTGAATAGTTAGCCTCGTGAGGCTTCAACTTTCTAGAGGCGTAAGCTATCACATGCCCCTGCTACATCAACACTGCTCCTGTACCTGTGATCGAAGTATCACAGTAGACTACAAAATCATCCACTACCTCTGGCAGGGTTAGGATTGGTGTCTCGCACAATCGCTGTCTGAGAGCCTCGAATGTCGCCTGCTGCTCAGGCCTCCAACGAAACACCACCGACTTCTTGGTTAGTCGGGTGAGTGGAACTACTATCTTGAAGAAATCCTAGATGAATCGCCTGTAATACCCTACCAATCCTAGGAAGCTCCGAATATCAGATGGAGACCTCGGGACCTCCCACTGCATCACGACCTCGATCTTGGCCGGATCCATTAGAATACCCTTCCGGTTGACGAGGTGACCAAGGAACTGCACCTCGCGCAACCAGAACTTGCACTTGGAGAACTTCGCAAAAAGTCTCTCCTTCCTCAGTGTCTCTAGCACCTCTCTCATGTACTCCTCGTGCTGCTCCTCGGTTTTGGAGTAAACCCAGATGTCATCGATGAATACTATCACAGACCGATCCAGCATCAGCCTGCATATGCGGTTCATGAAGTCCATGAACACGGCTGGAGCATTGGTGTGTCTAAACGGCATCACCACAAATTCATAATGACCATTGTGGGTCCTAAAAGCTGTCTTCCGAAGCGCAGATCAATCTTAGAAAACCAAGATGCTCCCTGAAGCTGATCGAACAAGTCATCTATCCTCGGGAGTGGGTAACGGTTCTTCACTGTTACCTTGTTCAACTCCCGATAGTATATGCACATACGTTGCGAGCCATCCTTCTTCTTCAAAAATAGGATCGGGGCTCCCCAAGGAGAACTACTCGGTCTGATGAAACCCTTGTCTAGCAGCTCCTGCAGCTGCGTAGACAACTCCTGCATTTATAGATGAGCCAACCGATACGGTGCCTTGGCTATCGGAGCCGCACCAGGAACCAGATCAATTCTGAACTCAACCTGTCTCTCTGGAGGTATCCCAGGAAATTCCTCTGGGAATATGTCCAGGTACTCTCACACCACTGCTACATCATCTACTATCGTCGTACCCTTATCCCGGGTGTCCATCACATATGCGACATAACCTGCGCAACCCTGCTGGAAGTAGCACCTTGCTCTCGCTGCTGAACAAAGAATCGGTACGTGTTGTGGCCACTCGCCCTGAATCACTAAATCTATCCTACTAGGAGTGCAAACCCTCGCTAGCTACAACTCGCAATCAATCACCGCTCCATTAGGGCTCAGCCAATCCATGCCTACTATGACATTGTTCCCTCGCAAAGGAATATGGACCAGGTCTACCAAAAACTGCTCATCGAATAACTGTTGCGAGCATGCCTTATGCACCTTTGTGACCCTGACGGTCCTATCATTGGCTATCTCCACCTCGAGTGGACAATTCAGCTCCCCTGGAGCTCTGCTAAACCTCTTGCTAAGCGCAAGAGAGACAAACGATCGGGTAGCCCCCGAATCAAATAACACTATCGCTGAAATGTCGTTCACTAAGAACAACTCTATACGCAAACATATTGTTGGATAAGGTGTCTAAGTCCATAACTTATTTGGTATATACTTGACCCGACCGGCATGGTCCATTTGGGTTGCATCTCATCCAAACTATTATGGATAATTTTATGAGAGTTATACACATATGTTTATTAATATATTATGAGTTATAATATATTAATATGAAGTTACGTTATTTAATTAGTTTTAGTCTTAAATTAATTATGAATTAATTTAGAGATTAAAAAGAAGA